TCACTTGACTCGGTAGGCCCTTGGGTCATTTTGTCCCTGACTGGGTTCAAGAAGATCATATTCAGGCATATTTTTAGTGGGTTTTAAGGGCCATCCTACTTGACGTTAGTTTCCGCTTTTGAACAAGGTACAGAGCCTGCACTAGAATGGGCTGAGGGTTCCGGGCTGAATTTCGCTTCGCAAGGGTGTAACTTATTCATCTATCCCTAAACCCTAAACCCTAAACCCTAAACCCATGTAGCTTCGGGGATTTCGCGCATGACAGCTATCTATGGCCAGACATTCGCCTCGCCGGTGTCCGATGCCTCTTGCAGCCGAATCGAGGAGACCTGCCCGGAGTCAAGACCCCATGACTAGTGGTCAGGGCTAAGGGTTGCTGGGTTTAGGGTTTAGGGCTACAGGGTTTAGGGTTTAGGGCTACATGGTTTAGGGTTTAGGGTTGCAGGGTTTCGGGGTACAGGGTTGAGGGTTTACGGTTACTGGGTTTAGTGGGGTTTAGGGTTGCAGAATTCGGGTTTCGGGTACGAGAGGTCCCCTTTTCTAAGGGTAGTTACATGGTCCCTTGCTAAAGGGTTGTGAAGCAGGGGCCTTTGGGTTTTATCGGGTATATCAGGGGTATGTAAGGGGTCCTTTTTTGGGCCTAGACAAAACCCTAAACCCTAAACCCTAAACCCCCCAGACAAAGGGACCACGTAACTATCCTGAGACTAACATTGGGGCTTGCCGCTTGGGGTGCATAGCTCGGCTTTTGAGTCCGAAGTCCGAAGGCCTAGGGTTTAGGGTTTCGGGTTTCGGGGTACCAGGTTACAGGCTTCCCAGGGTTACAGGGTTTAGGGTTTAGGTGAGGGCTCAGGGGTTCACTTGCTGTCTCGGTGGCCCTTAGGGCCGGTGTAGGGTTTAGGGTTTAGGGTTTAGGGTTTAGGGTTTAGGGTTTAGGGTTTAGGGTTTAGGGTTTAGGGTTTAGGGTTTAAGTTTAGGGTTTAGGGTTTAGGGTTTAGGGTTTAGGGTTCTATACCACAAAGTTGAGATTCCAGGGTCCGCAACTCCGCCGTTCCCACAAGCCTAAAACCCTAGCCCTAAACCCTAAAACCCCAAAACCCGAAACCCTAAACCCTAAAACCCTAAACCCCTTGGCCTCAAAATGGCCCACGGCGGCAGGACCTCGGCTCCTCCCCTTCCGAGGCCCAGTTCCAAGCCCTTCCGACTGACCTGCGCTGGTGAAATTCTGAGTAGCTGAGTGAGTACACTTTACACTTTTGGCTGTTGGGATACTATAATTAGATAACCCCCTATAGAAATGAAGTTGCATACTTTTTTGGGGCTTATGAACTCAGCAACTAAGAATACGCGTCAACCCTCTTAAGAAGCCCTTGCAGCCCCCTTTAGAATGCCTTACCAAACCTTTATGTACTCCCTTATTTAATCCCCTATTTAGTTCCCTTTTTTGATCCCCTACTTAGTCCCTTGTTGAATCCCTGATTTAGTCCCGTATTTAGTCCCTTATTTGATGCTTATATCATCCCTTATTGGAAGGTTTTAGGTTTAGGGTTTGGATCCCTTATTTCATCCCCTAAAGGCCCTTTTACCGAAGGCCGTTGACGGAAAAAGCCCGAACCCTGGACCCCTAAAGCCTGAATCCCTTCAACCCTTCCACCCGGTACAGGGTTTAGGGTTTAGGGTTTAGCAGGGTTTAGGATTTAGGTTTTGGGGTTCGGGTTCCGCCCTTCTTTGACACCCTTCCCAAAACCTTATGAACAATTAGCCCTAAACCCCGACCCCAAGCCGAAGTGATACTGTTATGCAGGGGGGTGGGGGGTTGGCCTGCCCCTAAATTACCGGAAACCCCAAACCCTTAACACAGGTTTAGGGTTTAGAGGTCTTCAGGCAGGTTTGTTTAGGGTTTAGGGTTTAGGGTTTAGGGTTTAGGGTTTAGGGTTTAGGGTTTAGGGTTTAGGGTTTAGGGTTTAGGGTTTAGGGTTTAGGGTTTAGGGTTTAGGGTTTAGGGCTAGGGACTCCGGGTTGAGGCTTGGTGCTCTCGCTGCCATGCTGTGTCCTCAGGCTGCCACGACCACAGCGGCCAGTCAAGGTGCCCAGAAGACTGCTTCTTTCCGTGTTCTAGGGTTTAGGGTTTGTTTAGGGTTTAGGGTTTAGGGTTTAGGGTGTAGGGTGTAGGGTGTAGGGTGTAGGGTGTAGGGTGTAGGGTGTAGGGTGTAGGGTGTAGGGTGTAGGGTGTAGGGTGTAGGGTGTAGGGTGTAGCGCTTAGGGCTTAGGGCTTAGGGCTTAGGGCTTAGGGCTTAGGGCTTGGGCTTCTTCCCTTCTTCTTCGAAAAGGCTAGGATCCGACATGGGGGTTTTGCCGAAAATATGGATACCCTTTTTGGGTTTCCTTTGAATGATTGTGGTATTTTGAGATGTTTTGAGGGGTGCCCCCAGTTTTCGGAAATCCGCATGTGAACCCTACCAAGCCGGCTTGAACCCTACAGAAAAGGGAAACTCTTCCCTAAGGGTCCATGTACCTTATCATTATGCACTGGGGCCCCAACGTCCCTATTTAGGAGGTACTTTAAGGCCCAAGTATTCCCTGTTCAGGTACATGGACTTTTAGGTTTTTTCTCCAGGTTGCAAACTGAGCTTCTGGGCGTTGAGGACATCGGGGGTACCTGGGACGCCCAGCTTTCCATTAGCAAATGGGCTGTCAAGGTCTTTCTGCTTGGGGGACATTCGGGCCCGAAACCTGAAACCCCTAGGCCCTAAACCCTAAACCCTAGACCCTAAACCCTAAACCCTAAGCCCTAAGCCCTAAACCCTAAACCCTAAGGGCTCAAGCTTCTTACTCCTGCTGACATCAAACAGAACCCCGAAGCCCTCAGGACAGCAACCTGGCCGGAAGCGCTTTTTCTTTAGGGTCCCCGGCCCACACACCCACATGCCCCCGCTGCCTCATCCCTAAACCCTAAACCCTAAACCCTAAACCCTAAACCCTAAACCCTTCTTGAACAGAGCCGGCCCGCCAGGGATGGCTTCCAGAAGCTTTGCGAGCAATGGCAGCCCAAGGTGGGTGTAGGGTTTAGGGTTTAGGGTTTAGGGTTTAGGGTTTCGGGTTTAGGGTTTAGGGTTTAGGGTTTAGGGTTTGGGGCTTCAGGGTTTGGGGTTTGGGATCTAGGGTTCGGGCTTCAGGGTTTAGGGTTTAGGCTTCAGGGCATTCGAAATAGTCGTGGCTTGAACCTCAAGGCCCCTAAACTGTGAGCACCAAACCCTACACACTCGAGCGCTTCTGAGCCTCAAGCCACAAAACCCCTAGCGTGCTTGAGACAGTTGCTCTGTTTACTTCAAAACTGATGTGATTTTTTTACACATCCCTCCATGTGACGTAAACCCTAAACCCTAAACCCTCAACCCTACACCCTCAACCCTAAACACCCAAACCCCAAACCCTAAACCCTAAACCCTAAACCCTAAACCCTAAACCCCTGCATCCCTTCAGCTGTGACCAGGTCCCCCTTCAGTGAGGAGGCGTCCCAGGACTGAAGCTTTGAACTGCGAGACTGATGTTTGTTAAAAATCGGTATCTTTTGTGTAGGTTTTATAGGGTTTGTGGTTTGGGTGTTTGGGGTTTAGGGTTTAGGGTTTAGGGTTTAGGGTTTGGGGTTTGGGTGTTGGGTGTTTGGGGTTTAGGGTTTAGGGTTTGGGGTTTGGGATTTGGGAAAGGGGGGGTTCAATATATAGGCTTTTGCATGTCTGTGGTCCTAGAGGGTTCTGCACGGTTCAGAGGCTCACGCCGAAGCGTAAGGAAGGACAGCGCAGGGTGATAAGCTGGGCGGAACCCCGACTGAGTTCAGCTTGAACTTCCACCCTAAACCCTAAACCCTAAACCCTGAACCCTAAACCCTAAACCCTAAATGGGCCAATGTGAATCGAGCGTCCCAGTCGCTGTACTTGCAAGGCCCTCTAGAGTCTACACCTGTGCTGTTGCTTGAACTTCCACCCTAAACCCTAAACCCTAAACCCTAAACCCTCAACCCTAAACTCTGTCGCCTTGCCGGTTCGGTTCTGATGGTCTTTTTTCTCGTTTCCCGAAAGGTCTGCGGGTTTAGGGTTTTGGGTTTTGGGTTTTAAGGGTTCAGGGTTGCATTGATATATATTTTGATTGTTTTTTGGTTACGTTTTGTTTATATCATCGTATTGAAAGAACTCAATTCCCCGTGAAGTATCCCCGACAGAATGATCTAGTCACCAAGTGAGGGGGGGCATTTTCCACCTTTCTTGATGACGCCTCTGTGAGGTTGATTTTAGGTTTAGGGTTTAGGGTTTAGGGTTTAGGGTTTAGGGTTTAGGGTTTAGGGTTTAGGGTTTAGGGTTTAGGGTTTAGGGTTTTTTTGCTCGAGGCCCCCTTCTGGCCACCTTGAGGCCATCCTTTTGATGCACAGTTCTACATCGCTTTTGCGTGAGCTACTTTCATATTTTCAGCACACAAAACAAGATGACAAGAAGTCTTCTTAACTAATTATATGCAAAGTTCCAAGAAGTCTTCTGAATTAGTTATATGCAAGATTCCAAGAAGTCTTCTTAGTTAGTTTATATGCAAAGTTCCCAACCAGGAGTCACTCCCAACATCTGCAGTTCTTGACGCACACCACAGTCCGCCGGCAGTTGTCCCTCCAGGGGTTTATGGTTTAGGGTTTAGGGTTTGGGGTTTAGGGTTTAGGGTTTAGGGTTTAGGGTTTAGGGTTTAGGGTTTAGGGTTTAGGAGCCTCTTCCACTACATGCCACAAGAAAACTTCGAAATCAGCGCAGCATGACAAACTCCTGAATGCCGCACCGTGGGGAGGGCAGGACCCAGGTCAGGAAAGCCCTCGGATGCGGTAGATGTGTTCTGGTAAGATGGAGCCCTAAACCCTAAACCCTAAACCCTAAACCCTAAACCCTAAACCCTAAACCCTAAACCCTGTACATGTATAGAAGACTACTGGAAAATCCGACCGCAGCTGCGGCAGCTCGGCCATGGCCCTGACGGGTGTGTACAATGGACGCTACTTTGAGCCTCGGCCTTGCTGGTTTGAGTCCCATACCATCGGCTTGGTTTGGGGTTTGGGGTTTAGGGTTTAGGGTTTAGGGTTTAGGGTTTAGGGTTTAGGGGTTTAGGGGTTTAGGGTTTAGGGCTTGGGGGGTTGCCCCTTTTTTTTCTGGTTCAAGCTTCCCTTGTAAAGAAACCAACCCAAAGAGCGGGTACCCCCATCAACACATGCTTACTGGGAGGGTTTAGGGTTTAGGGTTTAGGGTTTAGGGTTTAGGGTTTCTACCAAGCTGGGTCATAGGCATAGGGCTCAGGCTGCAGGGAAGCTTGCCCCTCTGTAAGATGTTTGGTCCCCGTATGACACAACTGAAGCCGGAACCTGGGGTGAGGAACCTGTTTAGGGCATTAGGGGTTGAGGGTTTAGGGGTTTAGGGTTTAGGGTTTAGGGTTTAGGGTTTAGGGTTTAGGGTTTAGGGTTTAGGGTTTAGGGTTTAGGGTTTAGGGTTTAGGGTTTAGGGTTTAGGCATCCAGGATCATCTCTGCCTTACCAACTTGATACCGCGCTTCGTGTACCGCGCGCTGCGGGAGGACGAGGACGACCGGTTATGTTTCAGTTCAGGATGGGTCGATTCTGGGATAAAAGCTTTAGGGTTTAAACCCTAAACCCTAAACCCTAAACCCTAAACCCTAAACCCTAAACCCTAAACGGAATTTAGGGTTTAGGGTTCAGGGTTTAAGGCTTGACATGGTTCAGCCAGTGATAAGCATTTCTTCCTCGCTGACCCAAGTTTTCAGCTTGAGGGTTATTTCTGGTGGAGCAGGGTCTGAGATCGCGCCAAATAGTACCCTACACCACTATTGGGTCATTTTTCAAGAATCCTGATGTGTTTTCAATATAGTTATTTGGTTGTGTTGTCTTTTAATTGTCTGTTGCAATATTAGGGGGTCTTCTTTTTGGATCCTCCCAGGGGTCTGGGAATGTGACAGCTGTTTTGATTCCTCCAGGATACCCTGGCGGGCTTGCGGGCACGGGATCCCTGTGCTAATCGACTCTAGGCAGACTTGGCAAAGTTCTGCAAGTGGGTCAGCAGCATAAGGGCAGCCATCACAGATGGTACTGCATGGACAATGCACAAAGTGCATAATGTTTTGGGGGATGTGGTTAGGCCCGAACCTTTGACTGAGGAAAGGACGGGTAAAGCAGTTGGAGTGGTGTCGACACTGTCTCGGCCTTTCAGTCGTGTTGCAGTTCGAGCTAGGTGCGGTAGGTACTTCCAGACCAGCAGATGTTTTGCGGGGCCCAACAAGTAAGCAGCTGCACCATTGCCCCCTCCTCCCACCTGCCACTGAGGAAGCATCATGGAGGCTTTAGAGGAGGGATCGGTGTCAAACCAGTACTTGCACACGACCGTCTCACCGTTTGTGGCCCTCTACTACGCAGAGGCGTTCGGCAGAAACTCGAAGCGCCAGATCGTGGAGATCGATCTTCAGGGTTTCTCTGGACAGGTAGGCAGTGGTGAAACTCTAGAATCCCTAGCTCTGAAATAAGTCCCTGAAGCCGCAAGCTTGCACCAACACGGAGCCTAGCAAATGTGAGATTTTGGCCCCCCCCAAGGTCGTTGACGTCTCAAACTCCCAAGCTTGCCATCGGCATGGAGTGAAGCATGGTACCAAGGCATACAATTTTGCTGTGAAGCACCAAGTTGTGATGCTTTCAGGCTACATCCATCCCTCTCGCCTGGGCAAGAAAGTGCTGGCGACTTCAGACTTGCATGGTCTCCCTAAGGGGTCGTCGTGTGATGATTTTGTATCGACACTCCCGTACAGTGTTCAAAGAGAGCTCAACAACTGGAGACCGGGGCCGCCAGGGGCTACGTGCAGAAAGCCTGAGGTGTACGGCTCTCAGCCGCAGTCGGTGTGTAGCGATGATGCCGCCCAGGATGCAGTGTTGAAGCAGGCGGCGGAAGACCTCCACAAGGACATTGCAAGCATGCAAGCCAAGATTGTGAAGTTGCAAGCCAGAAAGACCCTCCTTGACTCCATATCGCGGCCGATCCTTGAACGAGCTGAGCGAGAAGCTCGCAGGAAGGAGGAGGAACGCCAACGAAAGCTTGAAGAAGAGCGGCTTGAGCAAGAGCGCCTGGCAAGCGTGAAGCGAAAGCGGGAGGAGGAGGAGCGCCAGGAAGAGGCGCGACGCGAGGAGCAGAGACGAAAGCGGCAAAGGCGAGAGGCGGAAGAGAGCCGAGGCACGAGGATCTCCGCCCAGTCCTGCAATGTCCAGGACCATGTGCTTGAAAATTTTGACAGGCAGGCGCTTCATGTGGCTCTTGGAAATAGTAGCTACATCATGCTCTGGGACTATGCCAAGGGCCAGTCGTGGAAAGGCATTCCGCAAGAGCTCTTCAACAAGCTAAATGGGCGTGGATATCGTCAGTCGCATGCAGTACTGGCGGCTTTGTGTCCTGATTCGCACCAAACCTACTACGTGCAGTTCAAGGACGGGAGTTCTCAGTGGAGTGGGCCGGGCAGTTTTACGGAGGCCGTGCAAGACTCCGGCCGCCGTTCGTTTGTTGCTTTCGGGCCGAGGGGCTCATGGTTCGTTGCGTGGGAAGGTGGCGCCTGGCGACACAATGGGCTGCCGAGAAGTTTGCAGAACATGCTCAACTCGAATAGACATCGCTCTGTCGCTTTCCTCAGCATATCTGGCATAGACCATCACATGGACGATGATTTTGATCGAATCGATTGCGACTTCGACAGGGATGTAGATGACGCAGCGTGGTTTGTCCGCTGGGCCGACGAAAAGCATCCGGCGTGGAAGCTATCGAATGCCCCTCAGTCGCTCTCAGATAAAATTCAGGAAGTCCAGGAAAGGGGTGGCAAAGTGCGCAGCGTTGAGTTTGGACGATACGAGAACTGGGTTCTTCGCTATTCAGACTAGGCGGGTTTAGGGTTTAGGGTTTAGGGTTTAGGGAGCAGAAACGCCTGAAGCGACTTTGCCTTTGGGATGGGGGGGGGGGCAATCGGCGACTGCAGGCTCGGGCCTGCAAGCCCACGGTTTAGGGTTTAGGGTTTAGGGTTTGGGGTTTGGGGTTTAGGGTTTGGGGTTTAGGGTTTAGGGTTTAGGGTTCGCTTGCAGGTTGCTGCTTGAGAGATACTCCAGTGCGAAGCCCACCCGAGGGGTTCTGGTTCTGATGCCTGGTCAGCTCTGCTCAGCAGATGCCGTCCGGTCATCAGCCCGCCGGGCCTTAGGGGTGTTGATCCAACGTTTAGGGTTTAGGGTTTAGGGTTTAGGGTTTAGGGTTTAGGGTTTAGGGTTTAGGGTACGGAAATCTACTACTCCGGGGGCCCGACATAGGGGCCACATGTTGGATCAACCCCCGTCTGTTTAGAGTCTAGAGCCTTCCAAACCTTGGAACAAGTCTTGAGCCAGGTGTTGTGAGCTTTTGACACCTACAGTAAACTCCAGAAAGTTGCAACATCCTTCTCCTCATGCCCCAAAAAGGCTTTCTAAAGGCAATCCCGGCTCTAATCATCCTTAAACCATGTTCCAACTTTCTGGAGTTTGCGGTAGCTGTCGAAGACGGTGCCTGCCTGAAGTTTTTGCAGCCCGGACAGGCAATTTTCCCTCTGCAACATTCGAAAGAGCTCGGAAATCCAGGGTCCAATCTCTGATGTCTTAGGTTTAGCGTTTATAGGGTGTATGGCTCTGAACGCATTCATGAGGCGCAACGATGGGCCCTGCCCGTGACCATCAAATCAGGATGCCCATTGGCACTGGTTTTCGGTTCCCTGATGGTGGTGCTGATGTTGAACGAATATCTCTGCATTAGAATCTTCGAGGCCCTGTGCCAGAAAACTCAAACTAAGCAAGTGCCACCCTTTTCTATGCTTACTGCGCAACCTAGAAACTTGATAAATCCACAAAGCGACATGTCTCAGGACCTTTCGCCTATGCCGCTGAAGCGGCAACTGGAAGAGCTTGAGGCCAAACTTGCTGTGCCTTCTTGGGTGCACCCTAAGCCCGAACCCAAATAAATCCAAAAAAAAAACCCACTTCTTCTTAAGCAAGGTTGCTGGGTTTCCGAGGGGTGGGTATTGGGGTTGGCCTACCTAGGGTTGAGGGTTGAGGGTACCCTACTAGTACTTGGGGTTTCTTGTGAGAAGGGTGAGACTGTTTTTGGGTACATGTGGGGACCGCTGTTTCGGGTTTTATTTGCCGAAAGCAGTACAGCTGGCCATCAGACGAATCACCATTCCCTGAAACCCAAACACGTCCAGGAGCAGCAGAGGCAAATCCAGAACGGCTTGGCACAGGCCAGTGTTCTGAATGCAGGTGTCAAGCTAAGTTTCTGCCAATGAAGGCCAGTATTGTACCTCTTCTAAGTACAAGAACCCTAAACCCTAAACCCTAAACCCTAAACCCTAAACCCTAAACCCTAAACCCTAAACCCTAAACCCTAAACCCTAAACCCTAAACCCTAAACCCTAACTCGAGAACCCTACTTCAGGTAGCCCTCAAGCCCGAAAACCACTCCCTCATAACCAAAGGCTGCCCTTCTGCAAGGCAATGAAGCCGTGGGAGGGTTACTTAACACGGGTTTAGGGTTTAGGGTTTAGGGTTTAGGGTTTAGGGTTTAGGGTTTAGGGTTTAGGACCCTCAAGGTTGTAGGGGTTTCGGGTCATGGCTGCGCGAAGATATGGGGGGGTTTACGAAAAAAGGGCACCCCCCTCGTCTAGGCCCCCAAATTGTCGGTTCCCCCGAAGAATAAGAACCCCCATAAGGTACCGCCAACTTCGGAACCCCCCCATTTCATATCACATGCTATGCCAGTTACCATCACTTTTCGCCCTAAACCCTAAACCCTAAACCCTTTCTTGAGCAGTGGTCCAGGCGTCTACTCGTCGGAAGTCGAGCTCGTGTCACCCCATCCTAGGAGCTTATGTCATGTTAGCTCTCCCCAAGGCTCTGAAGCCAGCCCAGCCGAAGGGTTTAGGGTTTAGGGTTAGGGTTTAGGGTTTAGGGTTTAGGGTCGAGGGAATCTCCCAGAATCTAGCTCCTAAATCCTCGAAGGCCCTGGAGTATGAGCGGCGGCTTCGCGCCAGGGCCCCAGTGAGGCTTAGGCTCTGCCGCTTTCTCGGGGTTCTTGGGGCGATTTGGAAGCCCTAGGCCCTAACTGCCCTCAAGCCTCAACCCTGAGCACTCCCAACCCTCAACCTCAAACGCTTAAAACCCTTGCGTTTGGCCTCGTGGCCTTGGATGCTTGCTACCCTAAACCCTAAGCCCTAGACCCTTATGTCGTACAACCGTTTTTGACCCTTATGACCCCTAAAACACTTAGGACCCTCATGACGCTATAACCCTTGACCCTGATGCTTGTAGCCACCAGCCCCAAACCCTTGGCCCCAAGGAAGCTCACACAGCGCTTCGGGGGCGTTTGGAACCGCACAGTCTCCCAAGTACTTGCGGTTTAGGTTTAGGGTCCAGGGTTTGGGGTTTAGGACTTAGGGTCCTCCAAGAAGCCCTCCTTGAAGAAAAGGGCGCTTAACTTCTCTGTTTACCGCGTGTTGGGCCATTTTCATGGTAAAACCCTAAACCCTAAACCCTAAACCCTGAACCCTAAACCCCAGTCACCTTGGGGAGCTGAGGCAGATGAGGTGGCCAGGTGCCACTCCCTCACCGCGGAGCTCCTGGAGGCCCTTCGAAGGGATGCTTTTTGGGGTGCTGGGGTTCAGGAACCCTAACCCTAGCCCTAAACCCTAGCCCTAAACCCTAGCCCTAAACCCTAAACCCTTAGGGCGGCTAGTGTTGGGGTTCAGGTCGTGGGCTTCAGGGTGCGTTAGGTGGTGGGGATGTTGCATGGATGGTCAGGGTTTTAGGTTTAGGGTTTAGGGTTTAGGGTTTAGGGTTTAGGGTTTAGGGTTTAGGGTTTAGGGTTCAGGGCTTAGGGTTTAGGGTTTAGGGTTTAGGGCTTAGGCTTCAGGGCTTGGGTCCGAAGCCCAATCTGCACCTTATGCTTCGCCATACCGCTGACCAGCTCCTCCGCACCTGACGACGTCCATAGCCCACCTTCCGCATCGAGCATGTTCAGGGCCTTAAACCCTTAACCCTAAACCCGAAACCCGAAACCCGAAACCTAACCCTAAACCCTAAACCTAAACCCTAAACCCTAAGCCCTAAATTTGGATAGATCCCAACCTTTCCCCCAAATCCCCATATAGGGTTTAGGGTTTAGGGTTTAGGGTTTGCCCCTCAAGCCGAAGCTTGAAGCCCAGCCTCGACTTTCACTCGCTCCTCCGCACTTGCGCGAGGCCTTGGAGACCGAGCGCCGACGCCACTCCGAAGACATCCGCGCGTGGGAGCCGGCGCTCTCAGCTTCTGTTAAACCCTAAACCCTAAACCCTAAACCCTAAACCCTAAACCCTAAACCCTAAACCCTAAACCCTAAACCCTAAACCCTAAACCCTAAACCCGCCCGCCACCTCACTCTCTTGTTTTTGGGGTAGGCGGGTGCTGGTGGAGCGCTCAGTGAGACCCTGCGAGGGAGCCCCAGGCGGGCGACCGAGCTGGCCTCCAGGCTGGCTTACCCTCCAGGCAGGCACAGGCCGAGTCAGCAGTTGTCACTGTAGAAAAAAAAAATTACCCTAAACCCCAAGCTGTCCGCGCACATGGTGGGGTCCTGCATTGGGGGGCCCCCTGGGACGGCCCCTTGAGACCCCTGGTCTCACCCCCGTCCGTGCGGCTTGAGGGGATCAGGGGCCGTTTTGGGGCTCTGGCCACGCCCCTTCGCAGAGGGTCAGGGCCAGGGCCAGGGCCAGGGCCAGGATCAGGGCCAGGGCCAGGGCCAGGGCCAGGGCAGCAAGCCAGGGCCAGGGCCAGCGTCAGGGCCAGGGCCAGGGCCAGGGCCAGAGCCAGGGTCAGGGTGGGCAGGACCCCAGCGCCAGAGCCGGCAGGGCCAGGGCCAGGGCCAGGGCCAGAACCAGGGCCAGAGCCAGAGCGGCATTTTTGGCTGTGTTGCGCCTGGCCCTAGCTCTGCCCTGGCCTCTGGCCTGTTCGAGTCATCTTACCCCCTTGCGCAAAGTCCGCGCACCAGTTTGTGTCCTGTTTCGGGGCGCTCTCCCTCTCTGGCTTTGGCCCCTTCGCGCCAAATCCTGCCGCCAGCCCTGTTTCCGTGGCGCTCTGCCCAACCCAAGCTGTTCTGTGTGTTCTTCCTGGCTGGAGCCCCTTCGCGCCAACCAAGCCTCGCTGCCTTTCTCTCCTGGCCCGTCCCTTAGCCCTTCACGGACCCTGCCTCGTTTCCGTCTGCTGCAGCTTTGCGCCTGGTCCACGCACCTTGTGGAATCCCCAAAAAGGGCGTGAGTGCTGACTCATGTGATGCTTTGTAAAAAAATAAAAGGCCTTAACTCCTTGAGAGTTGTAAGTGGGCGGTCTGGGGGTGGGTAGGTCTGCAGACTACCGCGCGCTCCCAAAGCGCGCTCCCGTTTGGCACGCCCTAAACCCTAAACCCTAAACCCTAAGCCCTAAGCCCTAAACCCTAAACCCTAAACCTTGCTACTTTGGTCTTCCTGGGCTCTATAGACACGCAAATTCAGTGCATCTCGGTTCAGAACGGCTGTGATGGCCCGCAAGAAGGGTGCTTGGGCCACGACTCTGGGAAAATTTCGTGCTCCAGATTTCTCCGTGTAGCCCTGCGCTCGGGTTTATGCGGTGAAGTTGAGGTCCAAATCTGGGCCGACGCGGGCCAATGGCTCCCTCATGGGGTGCGAGGGGCTAGGGCTTGTCAAACACCGAGGATATGGCCCCGAACCCCAATGCGAACCCCATTAGGGTTTAGGGTTTAGGGTGTAGGGTTTAGGGTTTAGGGTTACATAAGGGTTGAGGGTTTAGGGTTTCGGGTAAACCCCAATCGGACTCACTCTTTGCTTGCGCCAAGGCTACGT